TTCTGGTGTAGGAGTAGCCTTTGTGGTTGTTGATGGTTCAGGAGTTGTAGGTTTCTCTGTCGAGGAAGAAATGACCTTTGTGGTTGAGGACTGCTCTGTGATTGTCGTTGATGGTGTTTCAGGTGTAACTGTCACTTTTGTTGTAGTGGATGATTTCGGTGTTGTTGTAGATGTTGGTGTAGTGATAGACTTGGTGGTTGTGGATGGTTTGGAAGTTGTTGTAGGAGGTGTACTGGTTGGAGCTGTAATTCTTGTTGTTGTAGGTGGCATTGGGGTTTCTGGTGTAGGAGTAGCCTTTGTGGTTGTTGATGGTTCAGGAGTTGTAGGTTTCTCTGTCGAGGAAGAAATTACCTTTGTGGTTGAGGACTGCTCTGTGATTGTTGTTGATGGTGTTTCAGGTGTAAAGGTCACTTTTGTTGTTGTGGATGATTTTGGTGTTGTTGTAGATGTTGGTGTAGTGATAGACTTGGTGGTTGTGGACGGTTCAGAAGTTGTTGTAGGAGGTGTACCGGTTGGAGTTGTAATTGTTGTTGTTGTAGGTGGCCTTGGTGAAGTTTCACATGATACTGGACAGCATACCCTAATTTGGTAGTCAAAGCACTTTCCTGGGCGCAAAGGCTGGTCTTCTTTTTTACAGATTAATCCATATTTTATATCACAACTTACAACCTGTGCATTTTCCTGTACAAATTGGTCAAAATCCATTTCTGGTACAAGTGCTGATTTACAATCAATTTCAGTCGGATTGTCACATATTTGTTTACCACCTTTTTTGATATTTTCGTATGTTTCCCAGTCACTTTTGTCTGTCTTTGGATTATGGACATTGTACCAGTCAGACCACTCACAAGTTGAAATACATGGCGTTGTGACTGGAATTGGTTTTGTGGTTGTGGATTGTTTTGACATAGTTGTAGTTGATATTTTAGGGGGAGAAGTTATTTTTGTCGTTGTTGGTGGTTCAGAAGCTGTTACATAGGGGGTGGTGTGTGGAATTGTGGTTTTTATTGTTTCACTTGTCTCTGTGGTTTCTGGTGTAGGAGTAGCCTTTGTGGTTGTTGATGGTTCAGGAGTTGTAGGTTTCTTTGTCGAGGAAGAAATTACCTTTGTGGTTGAGGACTGCTCTGAGATAGTTGTTGATGGTGTTTCAGGTGTAAGGGTCACTTCTGTTGGTGTAGGTATTGCTGTGGTTGTAATTGATATTTCAGGGGTTGTTGGCAGTGACGAAGGTGCAGTTGTTGTCTTTGTAGTCGTGCTTTGCTCTGGGGTTGTAGGATATGGTGTTTGTTGAGTAGAGGTTGATCCCTCAAAAGTTGTAAGTGAGGGTGTAGATTGAGCTTTGGTGGTTGTTGACGGTTCTGAGGTTATAATAGGGGTTTGAGTAGTAAGAGTTGTAGCGTTTATGGTCACGGGTTGTTCTGGGGATGTTGTGGGAGAGGGTGTAGCTTTTTGCGTTGTTGGTTTAACAGAGGGAGTTTCTGTTGGCACTGTTGCACAGGGTTCATTTATGTGTATCACAGTTGAATTAATGCATATTGCATAGTAGCACATTCCCATGTTGTCTGTCACATTATAAATCACATCATTATCTTCATATATAGTCCCATTGTACAAGCAATAGGCACATTCTTCCACGCATGTTTGAGTCTTCTCATCAAAAATTGGTTTATCTTCTGGGCATACAGGATAACAACCTAGAGAAAACATAACAAAATATAGCATCTTATATAGATGCGCTTTCAACGTAATATTAGTCATTAAATGGTATCCTTACCCTCGAGATTGGGTATTGGATTGTTACAAATTCCTTGTGGGTTTAAACAAGTCTTGTAACAAGGTGTGTGGCAAGGACTGTAATGCCATGTACAATCTTCTGGGTTGTTATAATAATCACAAAAAACAGCTGAAATGAAAAAAAAAGAAGTAGGAGAAGTTAGTTACATTCTAGGTAAAAATATATACCTTTGAATTGTTAGAGTAGAGAGGAACTGTAGAATTTATTGTAGGCTTTTTTTAGGACAAAATTTACAACTCTGTCTTTGGTTATGGGGGGTGCTGGAGGGTGGTCTCTGAGTGTTTTTGCCTTTAGGCCTAGCAGATTGGGCTTTTTAGCACCCCCTGGCTGTGGTTCAAAACAGGAATCTATCATTTTACTGGGAAAATTGAGCACACAGTTCAAACCACTACAACTAAAAACCACCAGTGATGGCCGAAATCTTGGTGTCATTATTATACCTGAACCTTAAGAGGCATATAAAGGCAGTCAGCCCTTTATCAGCTGAAGAACATCTCCAGAATTAAAGGACTAATGTCCAAGCAGGATTTAAAAACGTCAGTGACACCTTTATCTTTACTGCAACAGTGTAAAGTCTACCAGATAGCAGTAGCTGATCCAAAACGTTGCTTCCCGTGTTCTCACAAGAACTAAGAGCTTATCAGCACAGTTGTGAAGTTCTTAAACAGGATTTCAGTAGCCCAGAGAATAGACCTGAAAATCATTCTCTCAGTTTAAAAATTGATCAGCACTTAAAAACATAACAGATATGTTAACAGGTTTGGCTGCCCTTCCACGCTGCAAGCAGGCCAAAAGCCATGGCCACCGCCACTGCTCCCAAGGTCTAATTGCCCACCTCTGAGCTCAAACCTTCCACCAAAGCTCAAAGAACTGCGGTAGCTGAGAATTACTTCATAGATAAGAAACCTTTATTCTATGGAAGAAAAACATTGGATTCTGCCTTTTTTTTTGTACACCAAATTTTAAACACAGATTTTTTTAACATTGTATTTTAAACTCTGATTTTATTAGCAACAAATTTTAAAATTTTAAAGTATTTTTACAAATGAAGTTCCTTACTCTGAATTTTTATCTGAAGAACAATCAGCTGCAAAATATTCAGCTGCAGGGTGGGCCCAACCGATTCTGATCACTTACTGATCGATATACCCAACTCCACTACTTCCTGAACTTAAGCCAGCTTCTTATTGTCTTTTATTACTTGACAGACTGAATAATCCAGGCGTGTCCAGCCATTCTTGCCATGGTAACTGAGGTCACAAACACCTGGATTATCAGTTTGACCAGTAATATAAGAAAGAAAGCAAAGGAGCCAGCTGAAGTTCAGGAAGTAGCGGAGTTTGGCATATAGCCTATTGTAGTTTGCAAGTAGTTTAGAAGTGCTTATTTTAGATTGCTTGTATACCTGTCTTAAAATGTACGGTATACTGGAGCTTGGTTAGTGGAAGGGCTTGCAAAGGGCTTTGAGAATCTTGCTTTAATTTTCCCCTAAAAAACTTGACATGGTTGTTGTGAAATTAAGGACTAAATATAAACTAATTAGCAAAGATCTCTACAAAGTTTCCCTCAAGTAGGAAATGACAAACCAGCAATTGTTTTTGAAAAAGTATATTTATATTGTGTGACAGTGGGTGCTTAAAAAAACGAAATCCTTGGCAAATAATTTCATAGTTTACTCACGACAGATGTCAGGGGTTCTCCATGCAACACAAACGCCAGCCTCGTTACAAGCCTGAGCGTAGGCTGCTACAGCTGAGCAGAAACACTCACAGTCTCCTCCTGTGTCGCAGGCACATGAGTCTTTCACACAGTTTTCATAAAATGGGCGGGGATCAGTCTATTTGTTCACAAAAGAGAAAACATTCATTAAAAAGTTTTTTGGATATCTGAGTTAAAGAAACACCTCCAAGTGTTGCAGACCTTGTTATGGCAGTCTTTGAATGTATCGCCTGTTATGATGCTACACATCATTTTTGCCCAGTGATGTCTCATGGGTGCAGCTACACAGGAATCCACATTCTCTTCCACATCTGGGCAAGTGCTTGATGCTTTCCAACTGTTTGCAAACTCTAGTGAGTTGCTGACCATCATCTGACCCTGGATGGTGTAGTCATTCAATCCATTTCCATCAAAATTTCCACACAGGCCACAGACTTCACCCTGTAAAACAGTCACAAGGCTAGTCACCCTCACAAACTACATTTTCTGAGAGATGGGTTTGTTAAACTGGAAAAACGGTCTAGAAATAAGTTAAAAAATTCTTAAATTAAGTGTATTTATGCAGTTGACATCAGACAATCCAATTGTTTTTTCTCTTTTAAGTATAGATTGTCTTGTTCCATTCACAACACGTCTCTTTTACCTCCTCAATCCAAGAACAAATGCACTTATTTTAAGAAAAAGTGACTTTTGTACCTTTCAATTTTTTCCAGTGTACCTATTTGTAAAAGATTTCTGTTATTATTAATAAACATTGAATGTTATTTACACTGTGCTGAGGCTCCAGAAGAATGCGAACAGTTGTTTTGCGATCCCACAACAATGCCAAGCCGATGTCAGATTCTACCACCAGGTACAGGCCGACCCTCCTTATTCTGTGATGAATCAGAGGACCCTGTCCCAGATCTTCTTCTTCGTATTTCCCCTTTGTTAGTTTGATTTCTGTGCGCTAAAAAAGAAGAGATTTTTATATCATTATCTATACAAACTAAACGGCTTAAAAAGATAATTCAGATGATTTAGACTAAGTGGGTTATTATATATTTTTGTCTTACCCCAAGTTGAATTCTGACAGTTTTAGAGCAGGTGGTGCCTGTAGAACCACACGGTATGTTTTCTGTGATAATCCCAAAGTTGTTCTCCACTGTTTTATTCCCACATTTATTCTTAGAAAAGAAACATTTTGTTAAGTGTTTGTTTTTAAGCACAATAAAAAGAAATGCATCTTACTGAGAATACAAACTTTCAAAGCTCAACTATACTGTCAACATATCACCTGTCAAACAATATAATACATTTTGTGCATGCCTTATTACTGATTATTTGTCATTTTGCAAACAAGTTTTGATGCCTCAGTTTTAAATGTTTTATCTCATATCTGGTGGGTGAAATCTATAACTTTTTTTTAACTTTCTTTTTTGGGTCTCGATAAAAACAAGTCTTTTTCGTGGCACAAATCAGGTCACATCGATGAGGTATGTGTGGCTCCCTTGTAAGGTTTATGTGTATTGGGAGTTTAATGCATGGCCCACTTTAAAATCAGGAGAGACACAACAAACATTTTGTTTTACTTTTCCCCTAACTTGCTGATCACCTCAAAATCAAATCATAGAAATTCACTGCTCCCAAGTGACCAAATGATAATAGGCAGAATTAATTAGAAAGTAAGTCAATCTGCTTCTTGTTGGAGGAAGGCCAAATATTTAGCAGGCTGAGCTCAGTGATGACTGAATCTTAGTTATTACTGCTATCGCTGTAATATTTCAGTAGCACCTGCATTTGCTTTGACTTAATGCATCCACTGTGGAATTCCACAGGGCAGTTGCCTTGGGCCACTTTTATATGCCATCTTCACAAATGATCTACCATTAGTATTAAAATATGCTAAATTAAAAATGTATGCAGATGACACAACTGTCTATGCATCTGCAAAATCAATATCTGAATTAACTTCCATTTTAAATAAGGACTTAAAAATTGTAGAGCAATGGGTTTTAGATAATAAATTAGTTTTGGACATCTCAAAGACAAAAACTAGTACTTGGTTCAAACAAGTCTCTTAAACACGACCCAAAGTTAAATTTGTTAATAAATTTGTTAATAACAGAAGCTAAGCTTCTTGGTGTCTATTTGGATAATAAACTGTCTTGGTCAAGTCAGACTGAAGCTGTTGTAAAGAACACTGGCAGAGCTTTAGCTATATTGAGAAGATGTAGCAAGTTTTTGCCAGCTGATTTGACTAAGCTTATCGTAAGAACATTAATAATTTCTCAACTTGACTACTGTCAAACAATATGGTCAAATACAAAAAGAAACAATTTAGAGAAACTTCAAATAATGCAGAATAAAGCTGCCAGTGTAGCATTAAATTGTTCTTACAGGACCAGTATAAATACCATGCATTCCAATCTAAGCTGGCTAAAAGGCACTAGCTTCGCTATTATTCTCAATGTGGAAAATCTTAAAAGTCCACTGTTTCTGTTTGTTCAATTTAAGAATAATTTGGACTCTCATGGTTAAGCCACGACACATGCAGCTGAAGGACGATTTGTAATTTCTAGGGCGAAAACAAATTTTCTTAAATGCAATGAAAGAATGGAACTCATTGCCATTAATTCTCATAAAAATTGTACATAAATCTGCTTTTAAAATGCGACTTAAGAAGTTTTTAGGAGCAACTTATCTATAAATGAAATATTCCAATTTATTGTAACTTATTCATATAATGTTAAAATTTTAAATTGTTACTTTCCCCTTTTCTATGAAGTTCAGTCTTATTGATATATATATGATATTTGTCATCTGTCAAACATGCTCATGAATTTGCATTGTATACTGTATTTTAATGATGTGGACCCCAGGAGGAGTAGCTGGGTGTAAAGCACAGCTAATGGGGATCCTAATAATAAATAAACAAATAAACAAATGCATATCTTACTGACTTGTTAGAGTTTTAAAATTATGAGTTGCTAAAATTATTCCATTTGTCTTAGCTCATCTTGAGACCAGATTTCATGTAAGCTATAGTATTAGATCTATAGAAAAGGAAAGTTGAAGCATTATGAGTCTAAATTAGCAACTGAAATACAAGGGAGATTCATAAAAGTGAGTTGCGGTATTGATGTTTTCCTAATTTCTGTGCATCTACAATAACTAGATCTAGACTGAAATGTGACTTTGATTGAATCCAATCCATAGTCTGAAATTTATTTTTTGTTTACAAATGTCAAGTAACTTATTACTTACTCCGCTTTAGACTCTACAATGTCTATTTTTTGATCAAAGGAATAGTGAACAGAGGAATAATCTCAGACGCATTTATTTTGGATCAATTTGATGTTCGTTTGATTTACCTTAACAGCAACATATGCACATTCTCCCTGAAATCCATAGGTCCGCTGATCAAATGTGCTGTAGTGCCCACTTCCATAAATAACGCAGGTTCCTGGACATTTTTTCTCAGTACACTCCCATCTCCCACTTTTACATGTGCTAGATTTCAGGAATATTATGAAAAACGCCTTGAATTAATTTGTATAAATGACAGGTACAATTATAAAAACTGATTGAAAAGATATGCTTTACAAATTCTGCGTTGCTTTTAAAACACTGGCTTACCAGGTGTTGCACTGGTTTGGAATTTTTGCTCCTGCACCATAAATACGTCCATCATGCTGACATGTACATTCAGTTTCTTTCACACAGGAGCCTTTTCCGTCCTCCAGGAGACCATCTGGACACCGACAGCCAGACTCACACTCTGTAGAGTCCTGGAAGGTGAAAATGATTTAGAAAATATTCTCCCTCACTGTAAAAAAAATCTAAATCTATATAAGTCATTTCTTCTTAAAATAAGTGCATTTGTTCTTGAATTGAGAAGGTTAAAGAGACATTTTGCCAGTGGAACAAGACACTTTACATTTAAAATAAGAAAACACAATTATATTGTCTTATTTCAAGTGCATTTTATCTAAATATCTTATTCTAAGAGTAGAAATACTCATTCCATTGGCAAATCATTTCATGTACCTACTCAAATTAAGGGTAAATACACTTAATTTAAAAAATTTCTACTTATTTCTAGATTGTTTTTCCAGTGCTTATTTTATACACTGGAAAAACGATCTAGAAAAAAGTAAACATTTCTTAAATTAAGGGTATTTTCCCTTAATTTGAGTAGGTACATGAAATGATTTGCTAATGTAATGAGTATTTCTACTCTTAAAATAAGATAATTAGATAAAATGCAATTGAAGTAACACAAAGCTATTGTGTTTTCTTATTTTAAATGTAAATTGTCTTGTTCCATTGACAAAATGTCTCTATTGCCGTCTAAATTCAAGAACAAATACACTTATTTTAAGAAAAAAAAATGACTTTTTAAGTGTATTTATGTATTATGCTGTGGAACACGCCTGGTGTTTACATGGCAATTAATAATTCACAGATATATCTGGAATAACACTGAACTTTTGGAGGTTTGGTGATATTTGCAATAATTACTCACACATTCATCACTGTCCAGATTTAAACAGGTTTTAGCACACTGCAGTCCGAGGTCTCCTGCAGATGCAGAGGAACAGTCGAAGAAGACTTTTGGAAACGGACATACTATAAAAGAAAAAAAAAAGGTTTCTTTACACTAGATCAAACAAATGAGGGAGCTATTGAAGGAAGAGGACAGTAGAAAACAAACTGACATGATGAGCGGCTTCTCCAAGAATGACAATGAAGAATTCCATTGGTGCAAACACTTTGCAAAGAAAGGAAAAATAATGTAAGATACACACATGATATTATGCGAATAGAAAGGAAATGTACATCAAGTTTTCACTTTCTCACCAGTGATCATCTCTGATGTTGATGGATTTTCCTGGCTTAACGTAAACGCCGTTATGGTAGCAGGAACATTTTTCCATTGGGATGCAAATACCGTTTTCATCCATGAAGAGCCCCTCAGCACAGGCGCAGCCATCGACAGGCAAGAAGTCGGAGGTGCAGCTCTGCTGATCTGAGCTCAAAGATCTGCATGTCAGCTGGCACCTCTTGTTTGTGTAAGAGAAGGTCTGAGAAGCTGGGCAGCTTTTTGTGTACGTATCTGTTGGATTATGAGAAGATGATTGCTCAATAGTGTTACAGCTTACAAATAAAGGGGGGTAAATATTATAGAAACGTTTATCTAAAATATTTTTTCTGGTTCACAAAATATAGATTTATATTCTTACCACAAACACTCTCTTTCCAGTTTGTTACAAAGACTCCCTTTTCTGCACAAGCTCGGGCGTAAGAGGAGAAGACCGCACACAAACAGGCCTCACTTTTCTCGCAACTACAGGTGGAATAAATGCATCGCTGCAGAAGACAGAAAAATATGTTTTAAAAAAAATACTGTTCTATTAAATATAACCAGCAGTATGTATTGAAATCGGAAATATGGTTCATGCTCCAGTTTTTGCATCGTTTTTTAAACAAAAATGCTTGTAAACTCAAATAAAAACACGATAAGTTTACATTGGACTCAAATTACAGTTTTATATACCTTTATTTTATTTGTTAAATTGAAAAGCAAACAAATAGAGGCTAGAAAAGACTGCTATAGGCTTGGCTGCCGTTCAGGCACTAAACATGATGACAGTTAGAAATGGGACTATTTTTGTACCTTATAAAACATTTCAGGATCCACCATCGATCGGCATGGAGCGAATGTACTGTTTGGGCTCAGGAATAAGGAGCACCAGTGCTTAGCATAGAACTCTGAGGAAAAAAAGATGTTATATAAGACATGTACCGGAAAGGAACTAAGAACAGCACATTTTTCTGCACACAGCAGCAACTAAAACAAAAGCAGAAAACTTATTTACCATTTTCCAAACTGAGGGAACACGGGTCATCAAGTCTCTCCTGTCTGTCTGAACACATAAGGTTTGCCTTCCAGGAGTTACTGAAGCTTGCTGCCGTTCCCTCCACGATCCCCTGGGGGGTCTTCATTTCATCACTTAAAATCATGTTGAAGTTCCCACACAAACCTGAGGACAAAGATTAAATTATCTTTAAAGAAATGAAACTGTTTTTTCATTGAATTGTGTGTGGCTTTTTGTTTTGCTTTTGTTTATCTTTGGGAAAATATAAACTTGACACAATCAAAAATATAATTATGTTTTATTGGAAGTAAATCCTTGTTACACTGCAAAAAATGGATATCTAAATTAGTCATTTTTTTCTTAAAACCTATGTGTGTGTGTTCTTTGATTAAGGAGGTAAGTGAGACACTTTGCCAGTTGAACAAGACAACTTACATTTGAAATAAGAAAAAACAACTGCATTGTCTTATTTATAGTGCATTTTATCTAAATATCTTATTTTAAGAGT